ACAATCTTTCTTTTGTCTGACTTATGGCATAATTCAAACAAGAGCCTCTTTTCCTTTTGTGTCTTATAAAAAAGCTGTTATTTAATTAATACTTGATGAATTAATATATGCTGCAGCAAAGAAGTCAGAGATTCAATTCAAAACAGGAAATTCTCTTCTCAAGAGGCTTTTCCTGGATACCACATCCCTTTCTATCCTTCATATAGGGTTGTGAATGACTTCTTGAACTTCCAGGCCTGTGTTCAGGACATAACATCCTCTTTGGAGTTGCACCTCAGTCTAATAAAACAAATTATCCAAGAACTACCACATGGGCTGTTTATACTACTAACTTATCTGAACTGGTATGATGGTAAATTTTTTTTTTTTTTTGAGACGGAGTTTTGCTCTTGTTACCCAGGCTGGAGTGCAATGGCGTGATCTCAGCTCACCGCAACCTCGACCTCTTGGGTTCAAGCAATTCTCCTGCCTCAGCCTCCCGAGTAGCTGGGACAACAGGCACGCGCCACCATGCCCAGCTAATTTTTTTTGTATTTTTAGTAGAGACGGGGTTTCACCATGTTGACCAGGATGGTCTCGATCTCTTGATCTCGTGATCCACCCGCCTCGGCCTCCCAAAGCGCTGGGATTATAGGCATGAGTGACTATGCCTGGCTGGTAAATGTTTTATAAGTGGCTCTCTAAACAAAATAAAACACCAAAGAATTTGGTTTGCAGTCTTTGCCAATTTCAAGCTATCAACATGAAGTCACTGAATGCTGGGTTGAGAAGAGATACATAGAATCAGCTCCTGCTGAGCTAGCTCTAACAGGTAGCTGCCTTTCCCTACTTTTCCCACTGCATACACTTAGGGGAAGGTAACAGGGCAAGTGTATTCTGGAAGTTCAGTTTGCCCCAGATTTGGGGCTTGTTCTGCAGAAGCACATGTTCTCCTCTTTCCTCCCTAAGTATGCCCAAGCTGACCCAGCACTGAGAAGGTGAGAACTTCACTTTGAGTTTACTTGCTCAAACAATGTGTTCCCTGAGGCTTTGTGAGACAGGGTATCACAGCAGTTTCATGTGCTTCAGTGATACAGGCTCTGCTCTAGACATGCAACCTCACCAGAACCATATTACAATGTAGGTGAGCTATGTTTATGTAATGTGGCAGTGACTGGTATCTTGCTTACCATGCTCATTCAATAAAGCACCAGAAACAGTTTTGCAGGCAATGAGAGCATATATTTTGCCTTTGTGCTATATTCATTTTCATCACATTCAAAAGACTTTATCAAAAGGAAAAGGCCTTACACTAACTGCAAATGACATTCTTAGGGAGTCTAGAAGAACCATGGTCTTCTCATGTTGGAAAAAGAAGAGATTGAATGTTGTTGGAGCCAATGCCCTCCTTCCTTGTTTAAAAAATAATGCCCCACATGACTGATAGAAATTTTGCTGGGTCACGTGGCGCTCTTGAATAATGCAACAATGGAAATATGGATTAACTGGACACAGGGTGGTTATACCAACAGAACAGCCCTGTCCTCCTTCCAACATGTGCTTGATCTTATGAGTTAGAAAGGTACTCTGCTGCGATGGTTTAAATTGGTTAACAACGGGATCTAGAAAGCAGATTATAGATCTGTGGCACCTCAATTCAATTCAATTTAACTGACAATAAAAAATCACTCAGAGAAGCTTGTTAAACATATACACGCCTGAACTCCATCCACTACAAGAGAGACAGAGATCTGTGATTTTACAACTTTTTGCCACTGAAAATGTGATCCCTCGAGCAGAAGCATTGGCATCACCTTGAAGTTTGCTGGAAATGCAGAATCCCAGGCCCCACTTCAGACCTAATATTGGAATCTAAACTTAACAAAATTCACAAATAATTCATATGAGTCATCAAGTTTGAAAAATACGACTAAATCTTTCATTTTTTTATTGTGGTAAAAAGCGTATAATATAAAATTTACCATCTTGACAATGTTTAAGTGTACAGTACAGTAGGATTAACTACATGCATATTGTTGTTCAGCTCACCACTAGACGTTTTTGTTTTGCAATACTGAAAGCTGATACCCATTACCCAACTCCCCATTTCCTCCTCCTCTCTCCCAGACCCTGGGAACAACACTACTTTCCGTTTCCCTGACATCTCACAAAGTGGAATCATGCATTATTTGCTTTTCGTGACTGGCTTGTTTCATTAGCATAATATCCTCAAGGATCATTCATGTTGTAATACATAATAGAAATAACAGTCCATTGTATATATATAAACACATTTTCTCTATCCTTTCAACTATCCATGAACATTTAGGTTGCCTCCACCTCCTGGTTGTTGAGAATAATACTGCAATTAACATTGGTATGCAAATCTCTTCAGCATGCTGTTTTCAACTATTTTGAATATATACCAAATGTTAGGATTGCTAGATCACATGACAATTCTGTTTCTAATATTCTGACTGTAAGGTGGAGATGTAATGATTTCCCATCAAAATCGTTAGAGGAATGAACAGGAGCATTGTTGTGGTAGAGGAAGACTCTCTGGTGGTTTTCTTGGGCATTTTTCTGCTAAAGGTTTGGCTGACTTTTTAAGAACACTCTTATATTAAGCAGATGTTATCATTCTTTGGCCCTCCAGAAAGTCAGTAAGATAAAGGCCTTGAGCATCTCAAAAAACTGTTGCTATGACCTTTGCTCTTGACCAGTTGATTTTCTCTTTGACTGAACCACTTCCACCTCTTTGTAGCCATTTCTTTGATTACGCTTTGTCTTCATGATCGTACTGGTAAAGCCATGTTTCATCTCTTGTTACAACCCTTTGAAGAAATGCTTCAGGATCTTGTTCCCATTTTAAAATTCAAAATCTGACCCTAGTTTAAAATTTTGATTGAAAGCTCTGTTCTTGTCTGCAGCTGATCTGGGTACATGATTTTGGCATCCATTGAGTAGAAAGTTTGCTCAACTTCAATTTTTGTCAGAATTGTGTTAGCTGAACCAACTGAGATGTCTCTGGTGATGGCTATTTTTTCTGGTGTTAATCAGTCCACTTCAAATAGGGCACAGATAAGCTTAATTTTTTCCTTGCAAATTGACATGGATGGTCTGTCACTACAGGCTTCATCTTGAAAATTGTTTTGTCCTTTCTCAGAACAAGTTAACCAGTTATAAACCACTGATTCTTTGGAGTATTTTCCCCAAAAACTTTTGGTAAAGCATCAACAATGTCACCATTTTGCTACCCAATATTTACCATCAATTTGATGTTTGTACTTTCTTCAATTTTGGCAGAATTCATGCTGTTCTGATATAGGCTATTCCAAACTGATGTCTTATCTTTCTTAGTCCCTCAAACTGGATTCTGATCAGACATACTATTAACACATTAGTAGAAATTTGTTTTAGTGTGAAAAATGTTTTGAAATCGATGCATAATTTTTTCATAATATGCATTTTCCATGTATTTTTTGAATGCCCCTCATATGCTCTTCTATTCTGTTGGTTGTCTTTTTGCTCCATGGATTGTTTCCTTATCTGCACAGACGTTAAGTTTGAAGTAATCCTAATGCCTTTTTTTTTAACTGTGGTATTAGTGACATGGCCAAATCCAATGTACTGAAGCTCTATTTTCTTTTAGGACTTTATAGTTTTATGTTTACCTCTCTGATCCATTTTATAAAAATGTTTTGTATAGTTTAAGATAAAAGACCAACTTCATTTTTTGCATATGGACATCCAGTTTTTCCAACATCATTTGTCGAAGAGACTATCTCTTCACCAGTGTCTTGGTATCTTTGTGATTATTTGGCCATGCACACCATAGTTTATTTCTGGGCTCTCTATTTTGTTCTATTAATCTTTACATCTATTTTTATGTCAGTAGCACACTATCCTGATTACTGGTATTTTGGGGGGATGTTTTGAAATCAGGAAATGTGTGGCCTCCAAATTTGTTATTCTTTTCTCAAGATTGTTTTAGTTATTCATGGGCCCCTAGAAATTCTGTATGAATTTAAGAATTTTCTTTTCTATGCCTGCAAAAAAATGCCATTGGGATATTGATAGAAATTGCACTGAATCTGTAGATCACTTTGGGTAGAATGGACACTCCAATAATAATAGATAAAATCTAATCCACAAATACCGGGATGAGTATCTATTTATGTATATGTTTTTTGACTTCGTTTAGCAATATTTTATAATTTTCAGTATAAATATTTGCCCCCTTAGTTTATTCCCAAGATTTATTATTTCTGATGTTATTACAAGTGGTATTATTTTCTCAATTTCCTTTTCAGATTGGTCATTATTAATGTATAGAAATGCTATTGATTTTTGTGTGTTGATTTTGTATCCTGCAACTTAGCTAAAATTGTTTATTCAGTTTTTTTTTTTTTGGAGCTTTCAAAAGATAAGATTATGTCATCTGCAGACAGAGATTAATTATACTTCTTTCCTTTCCAATTTGGATGCCTTTTATTTATTTACTTACTTATTTATTTTTTATCTAATTGCTCTGTCTAGGACTTCCAAAACTAGGTTAAACAGAAGTGCTGAGAGTGGGCATCCTTGCCTTGATCTTAGACAAAAAGCTTTCAGTTTTTCACTGTTAAGCATGGTGCTAGCTGTGGCTTTTTTGTATACAGCTTTCATTAGGTTGAGGTAGTTTCCTTCTATACTTTATTGAGTGTTTTTATCATGAAAAGGTATTGAGTTAGGTTGGTCACAGTGGCTCAGGCCTGTAATCCCAGCATTGTGGGAGGCTGAGTCAGGAGGATCACTTGAGATCATGAGTTTGAGACCAGCCTTGCCAACATGGTGAAACCTTGTCTCTACTAAAAATACAAAAATTATCCAGGCATGGTGGCATGTGCCTGTAGTCCCAGCTACTTGGGAGGCCTAAGTGGGAGATATGCTTAAACCTGGAAGGCAGAGGTTGCAGTAAGCCAAGATCACATGACTGCCCTCCAGCCTGGGCCACACAGTGAGACCTTGTCTCAAAAAAAAAAAAAACAAAAAAAAAAAAGAAAGAAAGAGAAAGAAGAAAGAAAGAAAGAAAAAGAGAGAAAGAAAGAAAGAAAGAAAGAAAGAGAAATGGTATTCAATTTGGTCAAATGCTTTTTCTTCATTAATTGAAGTAATCACGTGGTTCTGGTCCTTCATTCTGTTAATGTAGCTTATTATATTGATTTTTGTACGTTGATTGATTTTTGTATGTTGAGTCATTTTGCATTTCAGGTATAATCCTTTTAACATTCTGCTGAATTGAGTATGCTAGTATTTTGTTGAGGATTTTTGGATCAATGTTCATCAGGGTTATGGTCTGTAGTTTTCTTGCATCCTTGTTTGTTTTTGGTTTTGGGATAATGTTGAGCTTACAGAATGAGTTTAAACATGGTCCCACTTCTTCAGTTCTTTCGAAGGGTTTGGGAAAAACTAGTGTTAATTCTTTAAATATTTGGTAGAATTCTCCAGTGAGGCATCTGGTCCAGGGATTTTCTTTATTAGGAGGATTAAATTACTGCTTAATCTCCTTACTAGTTATAAGTCTATTCACATTTTCTATTCCTTCAAGACTCAGTCTTAAGCAGTTGTATGCTTCTAGCAATTTACCTGCTCCTTCTAGGTTATCTAATTTTTTGGTGCATAATTATTTATAGTGTTGTTTTATACTCCTTATTACTTCTGAATCATTTGTTTTATGTGTCTTCTTCAATTTCTGATTTTATTTATTTGAGTCTTCTCTCTTTTTTCTCAGTCTACTATGGATTTGTCAATTTGGTTGACCTTTTTAAAAATCAATGCTTGCTTACACTGATTTTTTTCCTATTATTTTTGTATTCTATATTTCCTTTATCTCTGCTCTAACGTATATTATTTTGTTACATCTGTTGATTTGTCAGTTTTAAAAATCTTTCTAGTTCTCTGCAGTGCAAAGTTAGGATGCTGATTTGAGATATTTCTTTTTTTTTAATGTAAGTATCATCACTAACCTCACTCTTATTACTGCTTGTGCTGCATCCATAAGTTTTGGTATGTCGTAGTTTCATTTCCATTTGTCTCCTGATATTTTCTAAATTACACTGTGACTTCTTCTTCAACCCGCTGGTTGCTTAAGAAGGAGTTGTTTAATTTTTTTTGTTTTTTTTTTCATTTTTATTACTCAAAGTTTCATTTTTTATTTAGCTTTCTGACTCTGTGCTTGCGTCTTCAACACTTTCACAATGATTTTCTGCTCCTCGATAAGGAAAGCACACCTGATCCTGTCATGAACACATTTAGCACACATGGAACCACCATAGGCCCTGCTGACATGTTTCTTTGTTTTGGACAATCTCATAAGAACTTTAGGTCTTACAGCACGAACCCCTCGAAGCCTGCCTGGGCATATACCACATGCTGATTTTGGTGCTTTCCCAACCTTCTTGGTATAAAGGTATACAATTCTATTACCAGGGGTCTGGGACTGCCTAGTTTTGTTAGAGGCAGTATTGTAGGAAAGCCTACGTTGGTATGTCAAACTCTGGACCATTCTGAGTGCCTGCACACAACGTCCCCGGAAGAGCGAGTTGCTTAATTTTTACATATTTGTGGATTTCCTGTTTTCCCTCTGCTATCAATTTCTAGTTTCATTCCATTATAGTCAGAGAGAGTATTATGTATGATTTCAATTTTCTTAAATCTGTTAAAACTTATTTGTATCCTAACATAAGGTCTCTATTGGACACTGCTCTATGTGTGCTTGAGTAGATTTCATATTCTGCTGTAGTAGGGTGCAGTGTTCTTTATATGTTTGTTAGGTCCAACTGGCATATAGTGTTGTTCACATCCTGTGTTTCCTTACTTGTCTTTTGTCTGATTGTTCTATCCATAATTGAAAATAGAGTATCCAAGTATCCTACTATTGTTTGCTTCATACACTTGGAAATTCTAATGTTAGATGCACACATAGTTCTAATAGCTGTATCTTTCTGATGAATCAATCCTTTTATCATTATATAATGTTTGTCTCTTGTGACAGTTTTTGTCTTCAAGTTTATTTGGTATGATATTAATATGGTTACCCCTGCTCTCTTTAGGTTCTGGTTTGCATGAAATACTTTCTTCTATTCTTTCATTTTCAGCTTGTATGTTCCCCTAGATCTAAAGTATGCCTCTTCTAGACAGCAAATAGCTAGATCCTGTTTGTTTTTAATCCACTCAGTCAATCTATATCTTTTAATTGGGGCATTTAATCCATTTACATTTAAAATAATTAGAGATAATTAGGGAAGGGCTTATAATTGCCATTTTGTTCAATTGTTTTATGTATCTTATAACTTTCGTTTTTCCCCTTTCTTCTCTTTCTGTCTTCTTTTGTGTTTCCTTGATTTTTATTTGTTTTAATTTTTATTTACTTATTTTTGAGACAGAGTCTCACTCTGTTACCCAGGCTGGAGTGCAGTGTTGTGATCTCACTCACTGCAGCCCCCTGCTTCTTGGGTTGAAGCGAGCCTCAGGAGTAGCTGGGATTACAGGCATGTGGCATCACGCCCAGCTAAACTTTGTATTTTCAGTAGACATGGCGTTTCACCACATCAGCTAGGCTGGTCTTGAACTCCTGGCCTCAAGTGATCTACCTGCCTTGGCCTCCGAAAGTGCTGGGATTACAGGCATGAGCCACTGTACCCGGCCTTGTGTTGCCTTGATTTTTAAAACTGATGTTTTGATTTTCTGCTCATTTCCCTTAGCATGTGGTTAACACTGTAATTATATAGCACACCTTAAAGTTATTATAATCTATTCAAGCTGGCAACAATTTAACTTCAATCACATATAAAATCTCCCTTTATTTACATCCTGCTCCCCCACTTTATGTTACTGATGACACAAATTACCTCCTTTCGTATTGTATGGCTATTAATATAAATTTATAGCTACCTTTTATACTTAAAAAAAAACTCTATACCAGATTTAATAAAAGTACCTACAATACTACAGGATTTTATGTTTGTCTGTATGTTTACCTTTAGCTGGGAGTTTTAAATTTTCATATGGTTTTTTATTGTTTGTCATCCTTTCATTACAAGTGAAAGGATTCCCATCAGCATTTCTTGTAGAGTAGATCTAGTGGTGATAAACTCATTTAGCTTTTGTTTACCTGGGAAAGTTTCAATTTCTTCCTCATTTTGGAAGGACAGTTCCGCCAGATACAGTATACTTGATTGGTAGCTCTTTCTTTCAGCACTTTGAATAGATCATCCCACTCCCTTCTAGCATGCAGTTTCTGCTGATAAATCTGTTGATACTCTTATAGATGCATACTTGCATGTGATGAGTTGCTTTTCTCTTGCTGCTTTCAGGGTTTTCTTTTGGTATCTGACTTTTGACACCGATTATAATGTGTCTCAGTGTATATCTCTTTGAATTCATCCTAGTTGCAGTTTTTGAGCTTCTAAAATTTGTGAGTCTATTTTCTTGTTCATACTTGGGAAGTTTTCAGCCATTTTTTCTTCAGATAGGCTCTCTGTCTTTTTCTCTCTTTATTCACTGTAAATTACATAATGCTTATATTGCTGCACTTGATGGTCCTATAGACCCTTCAGCTTTCTTCACTTTTCTTCATTATTTTTTCCTTTTTGCTCCTCTGCCTCAATAATTTCTAATGATCAGTCTTCAAATTCACTGATTTTTTTTTTTCCCTGTTTGGTCAAGCCTGTTGTTGAATCTCTCTAGTAAATTGAGTATTGCATTTTGAATTCACTTATTGTATTCTTCAGCTCCAGAATTTTTGGAGAAATTTCTGAAGAAAAACAATTTTGTTTCCATCTTTTATCTCTGTTGATACTCTAATTTTTTTATGCATCATTTACCTAACTTTCTTTAGTTATCTATCTGTACTGTCTTTTAATTATTTGACTATCTTTATGAGAGTAATTTGAATTCTTTGGCAATTCATATACCTGTGTTTCTTTAGGGTTGATTTTGGTAGACGATATAATTTGTTCCTTTGGTTGGGCCATGCCTTCTGGTTTCTTTGTGTGCTCTATTATCTTCTGTTGGAATTCTGGCATTTGAAAAATCAGACACTTCTGCTAGTCTTTGCAGTCTGAGAGCAATCAGTCCAGCTAGAAATTATGCAGATCTCTCAAGCCTTTTCTAATGATGCGTATTGTCTGGGCTTTTGTATATAAACCCCTAATTGAAGATCTGTTGGTTTCTACTCAGGAGCTTCCCGGCTTTCTCCTCACAAGCTTCCCTTAGTGTCTATATCAGGTACTTTGGACTTTCTAGTGTGGCAGGAAGCATTAGATTTTTCTCTGTTGGTGCTGGAGCTCCCCTAGTGCCTGTGGTACAGGCTGATAGCAGACCAAGCCACACTGATGGCCTTTGTTCTCAGGGGGCCTCTCACAAAGCCCAGTTTCTGTAATCACTTAGATTCAGGCAAAATAGAAACCACTCCCTCGGGTAATACGTCCCCCTCAAAAATAAAAATATTAGATGTATCTTCCACTCTTTTCTTTTCCTCTCCAGAAAGAAATTAGGAATTAGAAGTTTTCTACTGACAGCTCTGTGCTATGTTGCAGGGAGTGGAAGGTGGTCTAGCAAGAAAGTGCCATAAATTTTCCTAAATTGCTTTAATATTATTGGTTTTACACTTGACTGGTTTTATTTCTCTCAATGGCAATTGGTCCATTGGGGAAAAAGGGTCTGGGCCTTCCTATTTGGCTATTGTGGTGACATCACCCTTCACTACCAAATCTTGAATGTCCATCTAATTAATACTCCTTAGTTTAGGCTCCCCAAATGCAATGAATTTTGCCAGAAGGTGGTGGAGGGGGAAAAATGGTTACTTCATTTATTTATTCACAAATTCAAAGAGGCTTGAGGTAGATAATGGCAAAACACATAAAGTAGTAAATACATTAAAATATGACTCATCTCAAACGGGAAGAGTAGAAAACAATCTCACTAGAATTAGTACAACAGAGTTAAATTAGTCCCAGACTGGGAAAGGAGAAAAATAACGTATTTCCTACTGACTGATACAAAACTTTACTTGTTTACTAGAAGATGCAAAGTTTTCTCCTTTTAAGAGAGAAATTCTACATTTTTATGATAAGTTTTACATTTTATGAGGAATTTATTGGAAATATCTTTACATAAAGGACTATGGACTTCAAGATGGATAATCCCTTCACAGCAGTTTTACAGAAGATTCAGATATTTTGGTTCTAGGATAGTGTATAAAGTATTAATGCTCAGTGATGCCTTAGGCTGCATTGTAGAGTAATATTTTAAACTCTGGCTCACTGGCTGCATTTCTTTGGGGTAACTGATACAAGGGATTATCATAATGTTTATCATAATGTTTATCAGCTTTCAATGTCTCCCCTCAGTTGACTTTATGACAGTCACACCATGCAACACCTTAGCTCAATCATCACATTTTAGTCTGTCAAGACTTTCTGTATGCTTTATTCCTAGTCACTCTCTTGTTGAAATGCGGTCCTCAGCCATGGTTGGAATCTCTGATGCCTGCTCTTTCTCTTATACAGGGGTTCCTGGGATTCAGAGTGCTTTTTGATCTAAAATCAGAAGTTGTGGTAGGGAGACTATGTCCAATTTTTAAAAACAACAACAACAACAAAAGCCCTCTGTGTAGGACAGATTTCCTATTTTAGGATGTGGTTCTCAAGGGTGGTCTTGGATCAGCAGCATCAGCATCAACATCACCCAGAAACATGTTAAAAATGTAAACTCCCAGGCTCCACCCTAGAACTACTGTATCAGATATTCTCAGGGTAGGGTGTATTAACATGTCCTCTAGATGACTCTGATGCATGATAAAGCTTGAGAATCGATATTTTAGAAAAATTCAATGGCTTTATAAACCTCATCAATTAAAACAATAGTTCCCCAATTCTGTTGTTTTTTGGAGTCACACCTGGGGAGCTTGAAGGAAAAATGCCTGGGTACCAGGGCCAGAGACTGAATTGATAAAAGTATGGGAGTTCCCCAGATGACTGTAATCTACACAAACATTGAGAACCACAGAAATGGGATTTATTGGTGATTTCATAACTATCTGCAAGTTTTTGGTATGGATACTAAGAGGAAAAAAAAAGCCAAAAACCTTTTAATATTGCCGTAAACATCTTTAAGTTTATGAAGGCTTTCACATGTAGTTCTGTTAGTTTTCACAGTAAAGTGAATAATGGCATCCTCCTACTACTGGTAAGCATATGCTCAATAACTTGATAAAGACACCAATTTTGATTTTAAGAGCCAATGCACAGCTTCCCTCTTCATGATAACTTAAGTAAAGGTCTTTTTTTTTTAAAGAAAGAGAAAAAAGAAAGGAAGGAAAAGAAAGAAAAAGAGAGAGAAAGAAAGAAAAAAAGAATAAAAGAGGGAAAGAAAGAGGAAGAGAAAGAGGGAGAGAGAATGGGAATCTTGCTCTATTGCCCAGGCTGGAATGCAGTCTAAAAATGGGTATTAAAAACCTCTTTTATGCCAATAAACATGCTTAACAATGAAGACAGGAAGGAATAAGGGAGGAAAATAAACAAGCAGCCAACCAATATTTCATTTAAACCTGTGAAATGCTATGCAATAGCTGAGGAGTGATTTACTTCCAGTTTTGTGGTCACTTTTAGAATAGATGTGATGTGATATTGAAAACATGTATGTTTTGTGGATTTGGGGTGGAGAGTTCTATAAATGTTTATTAAGTTTACTTATTTCAGGTCTGAGTTCAAGTCCTGGATATCCTTCTTAATTTTCTGTCTCGATCTGTCTAATATTGACAGTGTAGTGTTAAAGTCTCCCACTATTATTATTATTATTATTTTTGAGACAGAGTCTCGCTCTATCACCAGGCTGGAGTGCAGTGGTGTGACCCCAGCTCACTGCAACTTCTGTTTTCTGGTTTCAAGCAATTCTTCTGCCTCAGACTCTCGAGTAGCTGGGACTACAGGCACATGCCACCACGCCCAGCTAATTTTTTGTACTTTTTAGTAGAGATGGGGTTTCACCATGTTGGCAAGGATGGTCTCCATCTCTTGACCTGGTAATCCACCTGCCTCAGCCTCCCAAAGTGCTGGGATTACAGGCGTGAGCCACCACGCCCAGCCTCCCACTATTATTATGTGGGAGTCTCAGACTCTTTGTAAGTCATTAAGAACTTGCCTTATGTATCTGGGTGCTCCTGTATTGGGTACATATATATTTAGGATCATTAGCTCTTCTTGTTGCATTGATCCTTTTACCATTATGTAATGTCCTTCTTTGTCTCTTTTAGTCTTTGTTGCTTTAAAGTCTATTTTATCAGAGACGAGAATTGTAACTCCTGCTTTTTTTTCTTTCTTTCTTTTTTTTTTTTTTTGCTCTCCATTTGGTTGGTAAATCTTCCTCCATCCCTTTGTTTTGAGTCTTTGTGTATTCTTGCATGTGAGATGGGTCTGGATGCAGCATACAGATGGGTTTTGGCTTTTTATCCAATTTGCCTGTCTGTGTCTTTTGATTGGGGCATTTAGTCCCTTTAAATTTGGGATTGATATTGATATATATGAGTTTAATACTGCCATTTAATGCTGGCTGGCTGTTTTGCCCATTAGTTGATGTAAATTCTTCATTATGGTGATGCTTTTTACCTTTTGGTATGTTTTTAGAATGGCTGATACTACTTGTTCCTTTCTATGTATAATGCTTCTTTCAGAAACTCTTGTAAAGCAGGCCTGGTGGTGATGAAATCTCTGAGTACTTGCTTGTTCATAAAAGATTTTATTTTTCCTTCAATTGTGAAGCTTAGTTTGGCTGGATATGAAATACTGAGTTGAAAGTTCTTTTCTTTAAGGAAGTTGAATATTGGCCCTCACTCTCTTCTGGCTTGTAGGGTTTCTGCTGAGAGATCTGCTGTGAGTCTGATAGGCTTCCCTTTGTGGGTAACCTGACCTTTCTCTCTGGCTGCCCTTAGTATTTTCTCCTTCATCTCAACCCTGGCAAATCTAACGATTATATGCCTTGGGATTGCTCTTCTTGAGGAATATCTTTGTGGTGTTCTCTGTATTACCTGGAGTTGAGTATTGCCCTGCTTTGCTAGGTTGGTAAAGTTTTCTTGGATAATATTCCTGAAGAATATTTTCCAACTTGGATTCATTCTCTCTGTCGCATTAGGTCCCTTTACACCTATCAAACATAGATTAGGTCTTCTCACATAGTCCCATATTTCTTGGAGACTTTGCTCATTTCTTTTTAGTCTTTTTTCTCGAATCTTGTCTTCTCATTTTATTTCATTAAGTTGGTCTTCAAACTCTGATATCCTTTCTTCTGCTTGATCAATTCGATTGTTAAAATTTGTGCATACTTTGCCAAGTTCTCGTATTGTGTTTTTCAGCTCTATTAATTCACTTATATTCCTCTCTAAATTGTCTATTCTCGTTAGCATTTTGTCAAACCTTTTTTCAAGGTTCTTAGTTTCTTTGCATTGGGTTAGAACATGTTCTTTTAGCTCACAGTTTCTTATTATCCACCTTCTAAAGCCTGATTCTGTCAATCCATCACACTTATTCTCCATCAGGCCTTGTTCCGTTGCTGATGAGGAGCTGCAATCCCCTGTAGAAGGAGAGACATTCTGATTTTGGGTATTTTCAGCCTTTTTACACTGGTTTCTTCCCATCTTTGTAGTAAAGCCGTTGCCTAGATGACTGCAGTTGTGTAAGAAAGGCATTTGTCCTCTCATTAGATGCTGATCACACTCAGCACATTTGATTATTTTTGTAATCTGGCTCAAGAGGCAGTTGAGAAATCAGACTTAGATGCCGATGAGCACTTGTGAAAGTTCCTATGAAATAACTTTTAGTTTAGCCTTAATGTTTTTCTAATTTGGGAGCCAATCATCTGGATAGATGCCAAAGTAACCAGATAATTGCTGAAGGTTGCACCTCACTTTAATTGGGCCATCAGTTACTTTATGGTATCTGAGTGTCCTGCCAGGGTCAGATGTGTTCCACCATACAGGCCAGGAAAACCCCTGTGATACCGAACCATTAGACATAATTTCCTCAGGGTAGAAGCTATTTCTCTTTTATTACACAGTCCCGAAAAAGTCACATCATATTCAAAAAACCACTGGGCAGGTACCCACTCACCCTTAGGAATAGCACCTCCCATTGTAAAATAAAAAAAAAATTTTTTTGCAATATCCTAAGGGTAGCCTTAGGGAGGGAGTAATATGGAGATTTTTTTTTAAAGCTAGCCTCATTACCTCAAGGTGGAAATGGGTCTGAGGTATAGTTTATGTTCCAGAAATCTCCCTTCTGGTAATTAGACTCAGGCTAGACTTTAACTAAGACCCTATTCTTGTTTGGTTCCTCCTTCTCCCTTATTCTGCTTTTCCTTACAGGTTTTCCCTGGAGAACACTCTTCAGTGAATTGCAAATACCTGAATACTTGCCTCAGACTTGCTTTGGAGACCTTAGCTATCATCCATATTAACCCGGTGATTTCACATTTGGCAATTTAATCAGCAGTCCCCATCACCAATATGATCATCTAAGTGGGCATGAATACTAAACATGAGTAGAATTATTACTCTAGAAAAGTTATTTTTTTCACCAACAAAATACTTTAGTTATCATTACTTTTAAAGTTATTTATAGAAGATTCAGTCTCCCCATGATTACAAGACTCTATTCACTCCAATTGTAATTCACGCACCTTCATGAGTGGGGGAGAGGGATGGAATGATGGTTATCACCTAAGGAGTTGCACAGCAACATCAGGGATACCCACAGGCATATATCCCACAAGTGAATCTCACCCATGTCTTGGGCTCATACAGCCCAAGGTCTGGGAATAGTTGCCTTGGCAAATAATAAACTATCAATTGTAACAGTTAGTCATAAACAAGGACACTTCCATTTGACATACTCATAACTAGGCCTACCAATATACTGACCTCAGGATAAAAGTCTCTCTATGGTGTTTGCCTATCCAGTGAGTAAATCACCCAGCACACAGATTAATTATTTAGCAGTTAAGCCATTAAATATAGACATGTTACATACACATTAAATACCAAGACAGAACACATAAAATAAAACTAAGGGAAAAACCTATTAAATATATGCTTCCTAACCATTTCTTATTCATGACTGTAGGGCTATTACCCAACATGAAAAGGAATCTCCTCTACAGCATTGAAGGTTCCTGATATTTAATCAATAGGTGGAACCAACGTATTTTTTTTTGCTCTTATACAGATCATCAAGAGATAATCTTTTTTATTTTTTGAGACAGAGTCTTGCTCTGTCACCCAGACTGCAGTGCAGTGGTGCAATCTCAGCTCACTGCAACCTCTGCATCCTGGGTTCAAGTGATTCTCCTGCCTCAGCCTCTCAGGTAGCTGGGACTTCAGGCCTGCACCACCATGTCCAGCTAATTTTTGTATTTTTAGTAGAGACAGGGTTTTGCCATTTTGGCCAGGCTGGTCTGGAACTACTGACCCCAGGTGATCCACCTACCTCAACCTCCCAAAGTGCTGGGATTACAGGAGTGAGCCACCAAGCCCAGCCAAAAGATAATCTTAAGATATTACCATGTTTCCATTTTGCTTCTTTGTTCAATTCAGCATCATTATGATTCTAATACAGGTAATGACAATTTCGTTATTTGATCCAAAAGAGCCAAACTATTACTACTATATAAGGAACAATCATGTTATAGCTTACCCAAGTTAACCAATGTTGACTTCTGTGTATTTTTAAATAGTCAGATGTCTTCTCCCTCATTCATTTAAGAGGGACTCTAGGGATTTACCCAACTAAATACTTAACCACCTTTCAATTCACCTGAAATATATGACTGTGAGTTTTTGGAAGGGAAAATGGATATTAAATAGGGCACTTCCAAGCTTGTCATTCAAGAATCTCCAAAATTGGTCCTTAATGACTTTTTCATCTTTCTTTTTTAAGTTTAAATTTTGCCCACATATGCTTTATGCACTTAAATCAAAATTTTTATTTATTATTTTACTTTTTGATTGACACAGACAATTGTATCTATTACATACAACATGTTTTGAAATATATATATACATTGTAGAATGACTAAATCTAGCTAATTAACATAAATTACTTTATATAGTTATTTCTGTGGTGAAACACTTAACATCCACTCCCTCAGCATTTTTGAGAATACGATATCTTGCTATTAACTATAATAATTGTGCTATCCAAAAAGTGCTTCAATTTATTTGTCCCGTCTAATTGAAATGTTGTATTCTTTAAACAACATCTTCCCAACCCTCCCCCACCAATTTCCCCAGCCCCTGGCAACCACCATTCTGCTCTATTTCTTTGAGATAAACTTTTTAGACCCCATATATGAGTGAGATCATGTGATACCTGTTTTTCTGTGCCTGACTTATTTCACATAGGATGATATCCTCCAGGTTCATCCGTCTTGTCACAAATGACAGGATTTTCTTCTTTTTTTATGGCTACATAGTATTCTACTGTGTGTGTGTGTGTGTATATACACGCACACAAAATTTATATATATATATATATATACATACATACACACACACACACACACACACACACACCAAATTTTGTTTGCCCATTCATCCACTGATGAGTCAACATTTTTATAAAACATTCAGGATTCTCTGTGTGCAAGAAACTATTGCAGATATTTTGTAACTTTGAGTCTGTGTTCCAGTCATTTCATTCTAATCTGGAATATTCTTTGTGTTTCTCAAAATCTAAATTTTTTTCAGGGCTTAGCTTTCTAACCCAACCTATTAGCCAAACTCCCTTCCCTGAATTCCTGCAAGCCTTACATTTTTACGACTTGTTTGGCCTATATAATTTGATGACATGCCTTTATTGTTCTCATGTTAAACATGGTTAAATAATTTCTCAGGCATTTTCATTTGATCTTCACTGCTGTAGTGCTATGCTCTGAATGTTTGTGTCCCTCCAAAATTCCTATGTTGAAATCCTAAACCCTAAGGTGATGGCACTAAGAGGCAGGACCTTTAAGAGGTGAAGCCCTTATGGGGTGAAGCACTTCATAAGGGTGAAGTGCCTTATGAACGGGATTATAACCCTTAATAAAAGAGGCCCAAGAGACTTCCACCCCTTCTGCCATGTGAAGACACAGTGAGAGGTTGTCAGTCTGCAACCCAGAAGAGGGTCTTCACCAGAACTGTGGCATGCTGGCAGCCTGGTCTCACACTTTTAGCTTCCAGAACTATCAGAAATAAACATTTGTTGTCTATAAGCCACCACGTTTATGGTAATTTTGTTATAGCAGTTTAAACAGACTAACACTTCTAGTTTGCTGGCATTGGGAAACTTAAAGAGCTCAGATCAAAAATTCATTTGTAATTAGACAGTTTCAATTGGAAATGATTTTGAAATAAACCCCTTAATGTAAAAGTTGGAGCAGTGATTTGCAGCTAACAGGCCTTGAATCCTGTTACTAGAGAGAGAGGGGAGGGGTAGGCAAAGGTGCCTTTAAGCCATTATGCGTGCACGTATGCATACACATAAATTCTGTTATTTTCAGCTATGGGTAGGCCCTCCAGATAAAAATCATTAAACCGCCTTTCTTATATTATTGGAGTCATCTGTTTCTATCAGCTTTTCTTATTTCAGTAAAGGGGACTACAAAATCTTTTAAAATTATAAAGGGGTCCCTAGACTTATAAATTGGCTAGTACTCATCCAGAGGGTTTTGAGACACTATGATTCATTAGGACACATCTCACTTTTAGCTGTTCTTCCAACTAGTTGACATACAGCAGAGTAGAGAACATACTTGTTTCAGAAGAAACTCCTAAGCAATCTGCCATGGTGAACTGTACTCCAAAAGAGTCAGTTCCAAATACCAATAGCCAGCAAATGTGGGCAGAAGGGAACCATTCAACTTGTCCTGGAAGGAGTTGAGAAGTGTTGTTCCTAGTATTTATAGGTTGAGAGGTATGTGTGTTTAGGCTTCCAGTAGGCCTAGCCAAGCTGATGCTTATTCCCAGAGCACAGAACCATTAGTAGGCCTCTTTGAAAAAGGCTCCATTCCCATGAAATCTCACAATCATTATCTTTGATGGGATTTGGGTCAACACTAAAGAACTTAGTGAGAACACCAATTGTGGAAGTTTTTCTTTCTTTCTATTTTTTTTACATTGTACAGGATGGAAGTACATTCTACTTGAGGGAATTTACTTCTATATGCAAGATTTATATGCTAGGTACCAATGAATGTTTTCCAGAAGGGAAAGTCAGGACTCTGAAACAATTGATCAGAGCATGTGAATTAACTCCTTTGTGTTAATATTTTTCTCTTATTCATAATCTATTATGCTCTCACCAAGGAGAATGACACCTTAAAGCCTCTAAATAGGAAGCAGTTCCCAAATCATTTACATTTTTTTTTGTTTTTAGTTTTCATTATCATCTCTTCTTTTATAACAATAGATACATTCAAGATTTTTCTACAGGATTATGCAAGTTGTTGGTCTTAACTTTTTTTTTAATGTCCATAGATTTATCTGTTCACTCAGCTATGCTTTTAATTATTTACTGACTTAATTTATTAATCCATTTTAATACAATAATCTCTCATCTTCTTCATGCATTTAACACATTCATTCATTTTTACATTCATTCAATATTTATTGAGTGTATACTATGTGCTTCAACACTGTATTGAGTCCTGGGAATAAAATGATGAGTTAAACCAAATATGATCCTTGACATCATGGGGAAGTTAAAATATAATGGAAAGCAAAGACAGAAAAATCACATAAATAAATATAAACTGTAACTGTCAAAAGGAGAAGTAAAAGATAGTATAAAAATCTGTAATAGGAAGAGTTGACCCAACCATGACTTTCTGAGGAAGCATCAATGAAGCTGGGAGATGGGAAATGAGAAGGAGTTACAGAAATAAAGAGGGAAGGAAAAGTGTTTCAGGCAAAGGATGCACTCACTACATACTAGTGGCCTACAGAGGAAGGGAGGATGGTGAATATGCAGAAGAGAAAAGTCAATGCAACTGAAGAGGAGGTAGGAAGTGGCACACGATGAAAGAGGTAGCTGGGGGAAAGATCATTAATGCATAGTCTGGAAAAATTCAGATGTGGAAGAACAGGGTTTATTCTGTCAGCTGTTCAAATAAGCCTTTCCAAACTAAGTCAGCTCTTATTCCCTCCAAGCTCAAGTTTGCATCAAATCAGCACCAGACTCCAAAAAGCATCTCAAAAACTTTGCTCAATTTAGAAATGCAGTCAATAGAGGAATAAAAGTGAGTGCCAAGAGAAGCATGGTCCCCATTGTGAGCATCGAAGAGGCTGATTTAGAAAGTGCTCTCTTGTTATTGCTTATAGACTTGCTTATTACTTGTTTCTGGAGTAGTATCTTTGGACTAAAGATTTCTTTACCCCTTTTCTTGGCTTGAACACTTATGCTTGGCAAAGAACAAGTTAGTTTAGTGATTTAAAGAGTTTTTTTTTCTTACCAGAATAAAGACTTACCTATAACATTAAGCTCCGCGTTGGAAAAGATAACTCCATGTTTATTCTCTGCCAAACACTGATACATGCCAGCATCTGAGAGG